CTTTATTTTATATAAATAACAGATCATGTGTGTTCTTTTTCTTATCGTATAGCTGAAACCTACTACACATGTGGCTTCAATTTTCGATTCTTATTAGTATGATCAGAAAACACTTGTACTGCTCATACTTTAGGTAGCTAACCACCAACTAAGACACTGTTTCAATGTGACTTGTTGGCACACTTTGGCATACTAATCCGTCCTTTCATTGTTATTTTTCTTTGTCTGAGTAACTTACACTCAGCGAACATGGTATGGTTTTGAGATTCATGAACGAAAACACCAACTCCACACGCACTCGACCAATAGACTACAACGGCTGCAATGACCGGGATTGCTGTATTTACTAACGTTGGTCGAATATTTACGATACTCATGACTGATAGAACTTGCATGCTTGCGAGATGAAAGCCTAATCGTCTTCTGGGTATTTTTAAGAGATATAGTCTCACTATAACATGCGTAGCTACATTGAACCCATCAAATGGTTAATCTGTAAAACTACAATTGTGCCAATGACCATAAAAAACACATTTGATCCTCGTACGCTTTGTAATTTTCTTTTTTCCTCAACCGCATATTCTACTTTTACAGGTCATGAAGTGCTCTTACGCAACTACGAACCCGGTTATAAAAGGCGGTCACCATGACCTCAAGGTCAGATATTTGATTGATTTTGGTGAGTAGCTCAACTTCTCTGTATACCTTCAAAAATTATTGAGTCCCTGATATGCGACGCTGTACACGACTATTTATTGTCCTTAAACTTCTTTTCACCTCAACAGCATGGTTTCAGGAAGGGTTATCCTTTTGTAACCAACCTGTTGACTGAGGTGGACAGATGGACAACCACTCTTGATCGCAAAAGAAAGGTTGATGTCATTTACCTTGACTTCTCAGATTCATTTGATAGGGTCATACATGTACGTCTTATCAATAATCCCAAACGATTGGGTATCAAATCATCTGTAATTGACTGGCTCACTTCATATCTAAATAATCGACATTTCAAGTTTAGGGTTAACGTCACTTTCTCTCAAGATGTTGAATGTCTTATTGAGTCATACAGTGTTCAGTAAAATGGCCTCTTCTTTTCTTGATTTATATAAACGATCTTCCACAACAGGTATTGTCAGACTTGTTATCTTTTGCTGAACGTGTGAACCTTTGAAGAGAGATACGCAACCGAGAGGATATATTGACACTTTAGGAGGATTTGACTCGACTTCAAAGTTTGGCAGACGACAACGAACTTATGTTTAACACTTCAAAGTGTAAATTAGCCCATCTGAGATATGTTACAGACTACAGTTACAACTTAGGAAACTCCTCTATAGAAGTATCTTGAGTTGAAAAATATTGTCAATTTACGTCAGTTAAAGGCCATGTTTTCTAGTACTCTATGTTTTAGCATGTTTATTTAACTGAAGCACGTAAATGCTACTAAAGCTTGTCAGTGAACCATCATAGTCAATAACAAATGTAGATGACAAGTTTTTAGTATCGACTGGGCTAGTATGCTATGATTACTAATCAATTTCACACTCTAACAATGCACGTGAGCATGGATCAAAGGACGGATAGATAGATTTGCAATCAGTACTGTTAAAGGTAATGGAAGGACTGGTCAATGACCAAATGAAGGATAGCAGGAAGGACGACAACGGTTCACTGTTCCCCATTCAGATCAGGGACGACCAACACGTGTCAATTGATTGCAATCCATGAACCGGCCCAAGAGATGGTGGTCGCCCTCTTCCTTGAACATATTCTCACCAACACATTTTTGTAATAACGTCGTTTGTGTTATACGGTGTTCAAAGCAGCCGTAGTACCCTGATACGGCGAAAGGGTAATCCAAGTCAAGTGCTGACAGTGAGATCTGACGTCGAAGTTAGCTGGTTTGTCGCACCATTCTCGTTTAACCCGAGTAGGCCCCCAAACATTCGACAACAACAAGCTACGTTGGTGATTTATGTATGCCTTCCACAGAAACGCACTTCTGATTGTCTTCTGAGAGCTCGATCTAGAAATACTAACTACAGGGTGTTTGAACACTAGCTCAGTCTACACCAGAGATGCAGCAAAAGCAAATACAACTTTTGAATTTTTACCAAAACAGATTGATGTGACCATCCTAGATTTGTTTATAATACTTTGAAACCTACTCAAGGTCTCAGCTCAACGTCCATATCATTGTTGAGCCCACAATCCTTAAAAGAGATACGAATCTTAGTACACAGATGCTCATAAAAGTAGATGATAGGGCTAAAAAACAAATTTTATAAACAAAGGCTCAGATACCTGGAACTATTCTCGTTGAGCTAAAGGGAAATGTGAGGCAATCTGATGGTAGCACAAAACATATTAAGTACACATGGTCATCCAAACACTAACAATGTACCAGAACATTAATACCTAGCACCTCGAGGCAAATACTATAAAATTACACATTGAAAACTCTGGTGCACTTCCACTTTTCATGATTAACAATAGTCCTCAATTGGAATGCTTCACCATTTGAAGTGATCACAAACCCGTCAGTGGATATCCTTAAACGGAGGCCTAAGGATCATATAATAACTCATGGCTTACTAAAATCCCCCACACGGATCAGCTGTACCTTATTCACATCTTGTAAATTATCTGCTATTATCATCATCACGTATCATTGATTTCCTATCACCTCATTATTTTACCTTTCAGTCGTCTCAAATCATTTGAACTACTGATCAGTTTATTTATTTACTTCTTGAGACGGTCGCCCTCTCTTGTCACTAAAATTTTCTCTTCAAAACTCTTTACAACGCATTCAGTCAACATCGTGACTGTTAGTGTGTAGCGTCTAGTTCCGGAGACCTCAACTTCCTACAACAAACTCGCTCACTCTGATCACAAGATATATTGTAGTGTTGTAGCGTGGCGTCGAGTCGCAGCTGACCATGATCACCACTACACTGAGACTACGTGCCAGTTACTGCGTCAGATTACTTCGTAAGAAAAATATCAGAAAGCAATTGAAGGTTGCAGTAAGATGTATCTGTTGACGATCTTGTGGTATCGAAAGAATACCGATGTAGCAGTAAATAAATCCGCAAAATAAATAGCTCTGTAAGTTTTCGACATTGGATGCTGACCACATTAGTTCTAATGGACTCACCTAGCTGAAGGCGCTCTGTCATGAATCCGCACCAGATCACGTGTGGGAACGCCGTGCTCAACATCTACTGCAAACGCTAGCCAGACTAGACCAGACAATTCCGATATATTGGCAATCGTCAAATACAACTTCTGATCTCCTCGATTCTGTCTTTTGATTTCTCTTGGTGTGTACAAGTTATATTAGAAGGTGTTATAGCGTGGCGTCGAGTCGAGATTGACTATGAACACCGCTACCAAAAAACACGTGCCAAGAAAATCAGAAGGCGTAGGTTGAACGTAACCAGATTTATTCGGTTGGCGATCTCGTGGTATCGAATGAGTACCGAGATCGTGCCAAGAACGGTACAAGCGAAAGCAGGAGAACGGAGTACGTGCGAACAGTAGCAAAAACCGCGGAACAATGATGGAAGGTAATGGAAGCACAAAATTGCTATAATTGGCAAAGTTAAACAAAAGTACATTAACACAAGCACTGGTACAGTTTGTTATAATAATAATAGTTTTTATTAAATCAGTCGTGTTCTCGTGATAAATGTGAGTCACTACAGTTTTACTGGTTAAAGCGTTGTCAAACACTGAATACTTGTGGCATCCTCACTTAGATCGTGCCAAAAGAGTACAATTGGAAATACTGAGCGTAACCGTAAGCGTGCGTGGTCAATTACAACGGAGGAATGTATGTTTTCAGTACAGTTGAACAAACAAGTGCAGTAAAAGAATCACTGATAAGACTGGTTATAATAATTGTTTCCATCATACCAATCGCGTTCTTCAGTCTTCAGTAATAAGGATAGTAGAACCTGTATGAACCTGTAATAATCCTAACACACTGCTTTCCAGTGAAGGTCCAGCTTATCGTTGAACGTATTCACTGATGGGGCTGATACCACTTGTTCGGGTAAGGCGTTCCAATGATTGACTACTCGATGGTAAAAACGGGACCCCACTTAAGTTTATTAGATATTGGTTTATGAACCTTCTTGCTATGACCCCAGAGATTATTGTTGCTGGAGGGAGCAAAAAGATAGTACATATTAACACCCGAATGATAATTAAAGATACGAAATGCCAGTATAAGGTCACCTCGTGTCCTACAATACGACAAGGAGAAAAGATTTAGGCGTTTTAAACGTTCATCGTAAGGGAGTCTAGAAAGACCCTTCACTAATTTCGTTCCCACACGCTGGACATGCTCAAGGGAGTTAGTATCCTTTACCAAACACGGGATAGCTGCTTGGATACAGTACTCTAAGTGTGGTCTTACATAGGTGGGATATAAAATTCAAAACGTTTCCTCGTCAAAAGATTTTAACGCTCGGCGAAGTGAACATAACGTACGAAAACCTTTGACAGTGGCTGCTTTGCAATGCGTAGTTGTTTTTAAATCATGAATTAATACTACTCCTAAGTCTTTATGCTCTTGAACGCATGGAAGAGGTTTACCCTCAATAGTGTAACGGTAACTATTACCGTGATCGATGTGCATTAGCACACTCTTGATAAAAGTAGGTCACCACAATATAAATTCATAAAAAACTAAAAGCTGACTAGAATTAGTTCTGTTGGATCTAAAATCTTACGCAATAAAGAAACCAACACATGGAAGTCACTTGATTTACACTAGCCTGTCACAAAGAACAGCTATTGCGGTTGACTGATAGTACCAAGGCTTTGGAAATAGCTAGTGCGTTATAAGATGTAAAGTTCAATGAATGAAAGGTTGATCTCTTTCCCAAGGTGGATGCAAAATGTTCAGCTTACCAGAAGAAAAGGATTATGCTTCGTTTTACTAGATATCTAGATTCGAATAGTCAAGGTTCGTGTCCCACTTCAAGGCCATAGTGGTCTCGGCTTCTTAAGTGCTTTTTATTTTATTATAGAGAACATTCGTACTGTTTTTCCACGATTTCTCTAGCCTATTTACAAAGCCTTATATTCTTTATGATCAGGCAATATGAAGGGAGTGTCGTAAGTAGATATAACTGTTACTACTAGTGTTTAAAGACAGTAAAAGATTTAGGTGAATTCAACATCTTCGGATTAATGCAATCAGTTTGATCCCTATAAGATGCTGGACGGCTCTGCTTCTCATGCATCTGCCTTCCATTTTACTTATTGTTTAGTGTTATCTTATTGACCGGGATAGTTGCTCATTTATTGTAGTTATATACACTGGTGACTATGTTGATCATTATGCTAAACCCCTTTAATCTAATAACGTGCTAGACATTTTCAAGATGAAAAATTTATGAAATAGTGTTTTAAATGAACTGAAACTTCCGTCTGTCTAATTAAGCCTTATTCCATCATTCATTAATATTGTTTCATAATTGCGTGTAAATGCACTGTAGACCAGTTTACATAGAAATAGTTTTTGGTATTTTAGGTAGAGTAGTTGTCTGAAAACATGGCTGTAAATTCATTCAGGTGCAAAGCACTTCATTCTCATAAGTGATGGGACGCAGAAAAATTGAAGTCCAAAAAATTGAAGATAAAAATAAATGTGTGGTAAGAATTAGTTACAAAGTATCATTCTCTTACTTAGGCCACTTTCCGCAAGCGTCGAGATGGTTTATTTAAGAAAGCGCTTGAACTACATCGTCTCACTGGCGCGGAAATTACACTGAGTTTAGTATACAACAAATCAAGATATTACTTCAGCTCACATGGTGATAAAGATGATGGAGATGTAATTAACAATTTTCACTACACTAAACATTTTCAGTTCAAGGTTGGTTTGGGTATATTCTAAAAATGATGCATTTGTTTTGATTGTGCAGTTAATCGTTTATATGGCAGACCAAAGTTACATTACATCAAAAAACCTTTCTCGTTCAGTTAATCATCTCAGGTTACCTTTTTAAACTAAAAATTACTTAGCCTCGCTGCTAGTGCATTCCCTAACTAGTCTCTAAAATCATTGTCAACAATTTGTAAAATATTAATTGTAGTTCCCAAATACTCTTGCACAGCCGAAAGTGGAAAGTGTCCTGTCCCTCATTAAATGCTCTCGTACGCCCATGAGTTAAGTGTCTCCGCCAGGGAAATCGTACTCGCCACATTCAAGCTACTGGAGCATAGTCTATGAAGTCTAGAAGACAAATAGCGGATACAGCTCTAGAACCGGATTGGTGGGTCAGTAAAATCCGCCTAAGAAAGTCAAGAAGCCCTGATTTTTGAACACGTAGTCTCCAGGATCGTGACGGACCTAATAGTGAGTTAACCTGTTTTTAATTATCAACTGTCAGGAGACGGCATCTGCCGGTCTTCTACTGCTTTACGGACTAAACCTTTAGGCTAGAGAATCGGAAAATAGCCCTCTGTTGAAATTACAGATCTCGTTGTGGTACATGCTACTTTTGGTGCTTAGATCTACTCAGTTTTTCCGCAAATCAATTTTTTTTGGTGTTTAGTTGTGAGCACATATTTGCGATGGAAGTTTTGTTATGCTATATTATACTAAATATTGGGATATTCGTTATGTATTATGTAATTTAGGTGTTCACCAGAGAGCTTTTTAGTTATTTCGTACCCATCTGTATTTCCTGACTTAACTGTAGAAATTTTTGCTTAGGTTATTCGGTTTTATAAAGTTCTGGTAAATCGACAAATGTTTCTTAATTTATGTTGTCTTAAAAGCCATGGGAGATCAAAATGCTCTGCACATCTAAGAATAGTGTCAGTAACTGATGTAGCTGGAAAGCATCATGTTCTCGGGAAAAAGTGTAAACTACACATATGATTAGTTAGCGATAATAAAGAGGCTTTTATTAAATACGGTTTTTCCCATTTATTAATTTGAATAAAGCATAAACGACGGTCGTAGCATAATAGTACATATACTTAATTATATCTGTTATCCGACTTTTTGATGTGACGGCAGTAAGGTGTTTCCCTCAGACATCCAGCATAACAGCGATACTGCCCCTCCACAAGGAAGGGTGGAGTTAGAATAGGTCGACCCTAAAAATCTACACCTCGTCTTATCTCACAGATTTCCGTCTCCGGCCGTAATTTGCCAACAAGTACGGAACTTACACGAAAATTACTCTCAAAAAGGTCGGATGTAACCGGCCTCAAGCAGTTGTCCCTTGGGCACTTAGGTCACGCTCTCAGGTCACTAGGACCGACTCATTCCCAATTTCCTTTTCAGGTACCTCAAGAAGAACCCTTCCACATTGTGGGTAACCGAAAAGTGAAAACTGCCCTCTTACCTCTAATAACACCCAAGGTCACTGTATCTATAGTCAATTTGTCTCTTCAATCCCCATTATTCCTCCCACCTCAACTTTCAACTCTAAACTCCCTTTTTACTTCCTCCTCAAGTGTCACCATCGCCAATGATTCCAGTGCGAAACACTGCCTCAGGTCTACTGAAACCTCGTTCCGAACTACACATTGGAGTCCTCAACGTACTCACCCTGTATCAAGTCGGCCAGCAAGCATCCTTATCCAAGATCCTAGAATTTCGTGCCATTGATGTATTCTGTGTCTCTGAAACACGCATACATTGTCCTGTGGTCATCCAATTGATCTCACCTCACCAAAACGGAGAGCCGACGAGATACACCCTCCGTTTATCTTGCGACCTGATGACTAGTTCTCGTGAACTGGCGGTTGTAGGTATAGCACTGAGTACGAGGGCAGAATAAGCACTATTAGAATGGATTCCTGTTATCAGTCGCCTTTGTGCCGTTCGGTTAAATGGCTCCGTAAGAAGTCGGAAGGATAGGGACATATGTCGTGTCTGCCTACGCTCCCACTGACTACGGCCCGGATGAAGTAAAAGATGACTTTTACAGAAAGCTTTCTGAACTTCTTCAAAAAAGCTAAGCGCTCGGACATAGTACTAGTAGCATGTGACTTTAATTCTCAAATAGGTAGCTTAAACCAAACAGAAAGACGTTTTGGGTGGATGTTTTAGTATTTTGTGACCCCATATCTCACTCCAATTGGATTGTATGCTGATTGTCATCAAAATTCACATGTCGGCCATTCTCGCATATTTCATCGAATTAAATCGCGTTGGTGAATAACTGAATTAAATAAGTCAAATACGAGAATAGGTTTTTGAATACCTATATTTTGTACACTCACTGATCTGGACAGGAAATGAGAGGGATGAAACAAATAAAAGAAAGCGAAGCGGAATGACTCACGGTGGAGAAGGTGTGTGAGCCAACTTCATTTAATTAAGCGTGAATCAATACTCATATTCACCCAAAAATAAGTTACAGTTCTGTGTTGAGTAAGATAAGATGTACACATATATACGCTCATATAAAAACGATCAGGTTTGATAAGTCAATAATTAACAAGGTCGAAATGTGATTCAAGAAGAATGGATACATCAGCCTGTCCATATGCTAGAATAAGTTATATGGGATTAACATAGTGATCGACATTACAAGTATTTCGGCTGAGCGACTAGATAATAGTGAACTTCCGCTGCAACTATGCTCAGAAAATCGATTTTTTTAGCAATCACTAATTTTAAGCATAAGAAGATACATCGTTGAACATGGCGACCCCTTTCACCAAACGAACGATGGACTCAAATAGACCATATTGCCATGTCATCGTTGGAGAGACTCGCTAAAGTCTGCCGCTCGTTCTGGAGTACATATTTAGACTCTAATCACTCTCTAATAGGAGCACGCATTTGGTTGCGCCTCGCTGGATTCAGTAAAACCACATAAAGTTGATACAGATTTCCAAAATAAGTGAAGTTGTCGATGCGTTCGACTAATTCACTCCTTATCCTTAGTTTATATATTGACGCAGGCCAGTCCTGAAGCAACAATTGGCATTGTTGCTCAGTGCCACCGAAAGACCCAGCAACTTATAAACGTTTTCACCAAACAGGATTATATCATATGTGTATTCTAAGTCGATAAGTGGATCACCTGGTAGGAGATCAATTCCCGATAATTCAGTCGACGAGGACGTTATTTCCAGCAGCGGGTCTATGACGTAATTAAACAGAAATGTAGATAGTGGGCAACCTTGACGGACACCACTGGAGGTTGTAAAATCAGATGACAGTTCGCCATGAGCCCTGACGTAACTGGTAGTGTTCGAGTAAGGAGTCAAGAAAAACTATCATAGTCGGATGCCGATAAGCACGCCTGTGTTCTAAGGTCTGACGAATGGTGAATATGTAGTCGATGCAGCCACAACCAGGTCTGAAACCAACCTGATTTTCTCGCGTTTGCAGTTCACGAGTCTTTGTTAGGCTCCCGATAATTATTGAGGCTAGTATTCTAGATGCTATGTTAGTCAAACTAATCCCTCTATGGTTACCACAGGATGGTTTTGACCAATCAGATGGGATTTCATTCAGTTCCCAGATTTTAGCTAAAACATTAGTCAGTTTAGTCGTTAAATTTCATACACATAGTTCCCTTTATTATCTTAAAGACAGCAAAAACGAATATTGGTGCAGAATAATACGAACTCATTTTATTTCGTTAGGTTCTCATCAGCTGCTTACAACCTATAATATTTAAAATCAACGTTATTACAGATATTGACATGTTTATTAATATGAGGGTGATTATAAATGAATATGTGCATCATAATGTAGCGAAGATTCTGATAGAGTTAATAAGGTCCAAAAAATGTTTTTTCGGATAAATCAAGTTTGGGGGAAAATTCCAGAACATTGGAATAGCGATTATAGGTCATGGAGTTAACAAACATTAGATGATTGTGTAATGAAGTAACTAAAAACAGATTATTGATAATAAAGTAATTAAAATGAATTCATATTATTAGGGAGTGAATTAGTCGAACACATCGACAACTTCACTTATCTTGCAAGTCTGATCATCCCCTATGGTTGAATTCTGACGAAGTCGTTGCAGGGATTCAGAAAGCTCGTTTGGCTTTTGCCAACTCACGTCACCTATGTCTAAGGCGAGATATCCGACTATCAATTAAAAGACTAGCATTCTATAGTTTGTTCTGTTCTACTTTATGGCTGCTAAACGCGGCTATCAATGGTAGAAAGCACTCGTAAGTTACTAGTGTTTGATCACAGATGTCTTAGAAATATTGCCAGCATCTGCTGGGATCACTGGGTAAGTAATGGTGAGGTTAGATGCCAGGATATTACGGAATGATGGTAAATTAGTCGATGAGGTTGGGAATGTTTATCAACTGAGGTGGTTGGGCCACGTGTTACGTTTGCTTGAACACCGATTACCACGACGCTCAATGCTGACTAGTGTTGGAGATGGTTAGAGGAAAGTTAGGGGCAACCAGTCCAAAACGTAGCATCAGTGCTTGAGGTTGCTAACTTCTAGTCTTTGCCATGTTGGTAGATGCAAACTACTTAGTTGGGGCCCGCGCGACTACCGTAACCAATGATTGGAGACTCTGAGTGACATGGCTGAGAATCGATTAGTGTCATAGCTGTATGCACTTTTTGTTTCCCCCATGATATTAAAATTAATTTATACCCTTCTTTCTACGAACTAATTGTTTTTTTCCGTTTTATACTCTCATATATAATCTTTCTTTCATATATTTCTACCATTGAAGTAACTACTTTTTTGAATTTGGTGTTCATCTTGTTGTGCTAATGAGGTGTGGCAACTTTGACCGATGCATGTATGTGCCTGGTCATGTGTTGTAGTTGACTGACTGACTTTTTAGATTGGTCTGTCTACCAGAGCGTAAAATACTAGTTTGGATAGGATTTGACTAAAGTAGTGGTTTAGTGTTGAAAGCACTCGGGTTCCGATTACTACGTTCGATCTACCTCGATCTTTACACCCATATAGTATCACTAGACCTCAGCGTAACTCTAAACCCAGCAAATAAAATTATACATTATTACTAAGTTTAAAAAGGATGCGAAAGCTAGGTCACAATGTTCTTGTTACATGAAATCTATCTGTCTCAGTGCATAGTTATTGTTTTAGCCAAATTGTTCTGTATTACTCCTATTTTATTAACAAGCGATAAGATGAGTATCTGCAAATTTCTTTTTCTACGCTACTTTTATTTTATAGGCATGTGGATCTCATTTACCACACGGTTGCAATGAAACTAATTGTTCATCCATGTTATCAAATAATAATCATTCAAGTCAAAAAAATGAAACATCTATTAAACGGAATCCATTTCCATTGGTGAATTCCTCTAACAACTATACAAAATATAAATATAAAAGTACAAAGTTAACTAGTGAAGAGAGATTAGCTAATTTACGATATTTAATTGTTGATGAGTTATTTAAACAGGCGCTTACACGATTTCGTTCTTTAACCAAAGTAACCAGTTTGAATAAGGTAAATGCTCTATCAACGAGTTTTTTTTTCCTAATTAAGGGAGATCTCAACATTTGCTGTGTATATTTATAAAATCAATAGGTTATTTTTGCTGCGGTCGAGAGAGGTGGTTTATTAGTTAAAGCATCCGACTTTCAACTAGTGGATTTCAAGTTTTAGTCCTGCTTCGCCTCTTTCGGCTTGATAAGCTTGTCAGTATCACTAGCCCTTACATAATACCTGACTCAAAGCTAAGTACACATATCTGTACTTGGTAATTGAGATATCTAGCTGTTGTGATTCTTAACTAGCTTGTATTTGTAATGAAGGGAGGTTATAGAACTGTCAGCTTTACGTATAACTGAAAATGATCTTAATTGATTGAGGTAATTTGAAATATTGTTAATTTGCGATGCATAATATTTCATAATTATTGCCAATATTTATTCTCGTGAAGTTTGCAAAGCTTTTTTCTGAGATTGCCATATTGGATCTCATCAAAACACTAATCGAATAGAATCTATCTGCGTCTATACACTTTTGATATACTGTGAACGTGTGTTTCTGTTTTCTCTTAGTTACAAAATTTTTATAAAATTACTGCTTACACAGGAATTTATTTGGTATCCATAGTTTATCTTCGTTTACTAACTTGTCAGATGCCGGAAAATTCTGGCTATTTCTTTGTAAATTTAATTTAAATATCGGTTGGGTGTAACTTAATTGTTTACGATTGATTGATCACTATGTAGTGGCCAATATCCTGTTTGTCTAGTCCTTCTTAGTACCGGTCGAATTTCGCCGATCAAGTTGGTGGTCTAAGTGGCCCAACATCCCGTGGACTATTTAATGTTAGGTGGTTGAATGTAGTCTACTGGAAAGTCAACCTAGGTCTCATACTACTTGATACTTTCCAACAAGGAATGCTTATGTAATCTTAAGGAAATTGAAATTCTCTGGCGGGTTCGGAACTGTATCACTCAATTGATCGTTCATGTAACTTATTAATCATGTACAAATTTCTGTACATTCAGTTTCGCATGACGACTAGCGATACTACTCTTTATGTGCCGAAACCTAATTGAATTGAGAGAAGATAATGTTTAAACATCCAACTGATTTATGTGTCAATATTGATTAATCAAACTACTAAACAAGAACCACTTATAAATCAACGTTAGCAATTGTTAAGTACACTTAGTAAATAGATTTTAATGTCGTATAGAAAGTAATCATCATTTCATTTGATGGAATTAACTGGCGAAATGCTTGTAGATTTACAATGGATGTAATTTTCTGTTTTTAACTTTTACTCTCTCTCTCTCTCTCATACAAATGTATGTCTTTATCCATTTTGTTTATTTACATACTTTATCAGAAACAGTCAATAATTAGTCCCTGTTATAATAGTAGTGGTAGTTGGACTATGTTAAGTCCATCAAGTATTATTCCTAATTATGAAGTTTCATCATCTCATTTGGTAGATCAATCAGAAAAGGTTTTTAATGATGAAAATATTTTGTCTATAGGTAAGTATAACAAAAAATTTCTTATGCTCTAGAACAATATCAGTTTGAGTTGTATTTTTTTTCAATCTTTCAACATGAAATAAATATTGAGTAATTTCAGATTAAAAAAGATTATATAATGCTTTGATTTATTTAGAGTTATTTACTAAAAAGTATTGAACAGCCAGAATCATTTATCATGGTTCTTTTAAGTAATTCATGTCAGCAATTCAGTGGTTTAAGCCTTTAACTTTCAATTATTAGATCATAAATTCAAACTCAACTCCATTTATTTCCGTTTAGACTGTTGAGTAGTATGATTAGTTCGCATACAATAGTTGTGACATACACCTAAGTATATGGTAAATTGGTAAAATTAGTTTAAAAATATAATGAATAACGGTTGGTAACACTCTGACCAATCAGTAGGGTGTCCATTTGTAGGGCCACGAACAAAAGTGTGGTTATCTAGGGGACGAGTGAAAAAATATGCGATTGAAAAGGTTGCACGTCAGTAAGGTAGACCATCAAAATTTATCATTTATCATATTTGTGTGTGGGTTGTGATACTGTCCGGGTCCCCAGACTGAAGCAGGTGGTTTTCGCAGGGGACCACACCCCGAGCCTTTGACCTAAAGATCTAACCCACAAGGCAGTGGAGCATCGTGAGGAGATGCAGTCCCATGGTAGCCGGTGACAAAAAATTGGTTCATACACCATTTGTTCGCTTAGGATACTGGAGCCCATATGCATCATTGGTTTTGAATCCGGTTAAAGCGCCGGACATTCGCTTCTCGTCCTCTCATTTTCGTAAACAACACCCGTGATGCGAGAAGGCATTGGGTAGGACTTCCCTGATAGAGGCTGTATACGCGTGGCCGTGTGAGCATTTCGAGATGGAGAGCGGGCCCACCCCACTCTCAACCATACCAGGGCATTTGGGGGCTGACCATCAAAAAGGCACATATTAATAAAGATGAGCTTCAAAAGGGAGAATAAAACTTTCAAGGGTCTCTTTGCCTCTATAATGAATTCAAAACGTAATTTTAAATGTCCAATAAAGAGCTAACTTTCAACAAATAAGATGGTTTTTCGAATGCGATAATTATCTAATATTCTTATGACCCCTACCATGTGATATCATACTTTCATTTGAATTAGTGAACGGAGAGCCCCAAAATGCCCTGGTATGGCTGAGAGTGGGGTGGGCCCGCCCTCCCTCTCGAAATGCTCACACGGCCACGCGTATACAGCCTCTGCCAGGGAAGTCCTACTCATTGCCTTCTCGTGGCGGGGGTGTTGTTTACGAAATTGAGAGAACGAAAAGCGAATGTCCGGTACTTTAACCGGGTTGATTGACACAGGGAGTCCACCTAGTGGAGTTGGAAAACCCTCATTCCAAACCACTGAAATACATGGACTGCACTATCCTGAAGGAACAAATGGTGTATGAACCTATTGTTGGTGACTGGCTACCATAGGACTGGATCTCCTTACGTTGCCCCACTGCCTCGCGGATCAGACCTTTAGGTCAAAGGCTCCGGGTATGTCCTCCTAAGAAAACCACCTGCTTCGGTTTGGGCATCGGGGTAATATCCCAGCCACCACACAAATAACGATTTATGTGGCGCATATCTATTTGGTTCCTCTTTGTAAATATGTTTATGTGTTTAAGTAAATAATGAACGGAGAATCATTTTAGAAGGATGTATGTGTACTTTGAATTTCCAATCTTTCTCAGGGATTTCTCTGTTGATTTAGTGAATAAATGTTGCATGTAAGAAGATATTTATCACTGAAGATTTCATTTTAAGCTTTAATTTCTACTTCTTTCATTCAATATGTTGGAATACGCTACAATAGCGTATTCATTTGAAGACATATATTGATAGCTTCCGACAATTGAAATAGAATCTTCAGTGTCAGTTAATTCTCTTATATACATTACTAACCCATGAATTGAATAAAAAAAAACAATACTAGATACTATGCATCTATTGTTTGTTTCTTTTTTTTCTTTCTTTTTCATTTATTGAAAATAAAACAAAATCTTGTGAACAGTTCAAACACACACAAATTCACCATTACAATTTATCTATTCACCAAATAATTTATCATATTCATCATCAATGAATACTACTACAGATCAACAATTATCAAAAGAATTTAATTCAAGTCCATTAAGTCAAATTTTAGAGGTATCTTAGTATTTATTATTATTATTTTTTAATCTTAAATATATCATACTACTTATTTGTTTATTTATCTATTTTCTATGCTTGTGGGTAGTTCTATGTTTAGATATAATGATTACTATCCATATCCAGATCAAAACATGGCAAAAATCCATGAAGTTACTGAACTAAGTGAACTAAGTCATATTGGTAGATGTAGACTATCTAGTTGGGATCCGCGAGACCTTGAATATAACATAGCTGAAAATCATTTGTAATGGTGCAGGTGCATCCACTCTTTGTGTTCTCCCGAGTTCTAATCTTCTGAACTCTTCATGTCCCTTTTTTCCTCTTTCCAAATTTACTTCACTGTGTTATACTCTTTGAATAACCTCTTCAAACCTTATTCTTTCCTATTACTGCTTATACTTTTACTACCTTTACTACTACGGGATTTGAATCGACAATTGTATCTGTGTGCTAATGTGGTATGGCAACTCGAACTGATGTACATACGTATGAAGTTCTACGTTGTTGCTGAGTGAAACTAATTTACTTGAAGTATTGGACATGTACAAAGTATAGGCTTGAGCACTGTTCTACAAATCGTGCACTTTCGAGTTCATTTCCACTCCGGAACTCGAACCCAGTACTTTTCGTTTTGAATACCAACGCTTTATCCATTTATCTATTGAGCTCAGAGTGCTGGTGGCTTGTGAAATAGAAATGAATTTTAATTTATTTGCTTAAAAGTACTTGTGACATAACGGCGGATTAATTCGCTTAGAATACATTTATGTTAATGAGACTGATTATAATTTCAAATCTTACCATCAATAATGAGATAGTCTAAATCATTACAGAATAAATTAGGTGATATATTAGGAATTTATCAACAGGGATTAATTTTAAAGAAATTGTGATGTGTTGCAGGCAGTAGACGATTTGTCGATTTACATGGATTTCTCTCCTGATATTTCGTTTGCACTTCACGAATGGAGAATAAGAGTTTGTGAAGATTATTAAACTTTATCGTCTACATCACGAACTGACCTTAGACAACCAAATATTCTTCTAATTTAATCAGGATGTGGAGTGGCAGTAGTTTAGTGATTTGGAAGCATTTGGCAGTTTGGGTAACTGGGTAGCTATTATCACTAGTCTGCACAAATAATTTAACTTAAAGCTGATTGCAGAAACAAGTCATATTATTCATCTCTTTAATATATATCCATAAATTAGGAAGGATTCGAACCACCATTTTTTGTTAATCTTGACTGAACTTCAATCAATCTTTGTTATGATGTGTGTATCCTGTGCGGGTTCCCTCAATATAGTCATTTTTCACTACTTCTTATAAAATTGATGAACCTGTGGTCATCAGTGTAATCCAAAACCCCTGTTTGGTCATTTTTAGGTTTTGTTAGCTGGATGTACATGAACTCCGTCCTTTTTAATAAAAATTTATATATCATATTCATTGCACAAATGAATAGTTGTCTGGACTCAATAGCTCAGTAAATAGTGCATTAGCTATCTGAAGTGGGAAGTATTAGGTCCGCGTTCTGGTTTTAAAATCAACACTAGGATCAAGGCGAATTCAGTCGATGAGTCCCAAATAAAACGAGACAAGCTTCCTAGATTCCACTATTATAAATAAATCAATCTATTCTACAGATTCATAGAGATTTCCTCTCCTAATCAACTGTTGGATTAAGTCATGTAGATAGATATTGACTACCTGGTTAAGTACTTGATGATTATTATCACTACTGGTTGAATATATTGAGTGATATAAAACAGAACTAGTCAAAATGGCAAAGATGCATATCCAATCTTTGTCTTCTTTAATATGAGGTGTGGTATGATATACATTGCCTATAATCATCTCTTAATCAATTTCTTTCAAAGTTATAAAGAAGAATACCAATAGTGTGTTGAAATTTGCGATTCCTAATACTTTTATTGTCTAAAAACAAATAGATTATTTCTATTTAAAGTGTTAATTTCGATCCTAAATATGAACAAAATGTAATCAGACATTGTTATTGATTAATATTATGTAATTGTTTTTTCCCTTATAGTCTATTTTTATATTAAACATGACACATAAGATTGGTATGTTTTTCTGTCTTTTTCTCTCTCATTAAGTTATATTACTTTGATCAATGAAATTTCCAAATCAACTAAGGTTACATTGTACATATTGAATATCAATTATATGAACTATTATTTCTTATTCTACTTTATCATCGAGCTGACGAGTCTCAAATAGGACGAAACGCACGAAACACTGTTAGCCACTATCTGTCTTCGCTTAAATAGCTTGTGACTTAAGGCTATATCAAGGCAATCCGCACAGGATGCACATATACCAACATGAGACTGATCAATTGTAGTCCTAAATAACAATGGGAAAGATACAAGTAAGGCAACACCAAGTGAATTTAAACTTCACTCCATTGCAGGTAGCTATTGGGACTCAGTAGCTAAGTGGATAATGTGATGGCGTTTGAAGCAAACGGTACTGGGTTCTAGTCCCGGAGTGAACGTCAACTCTGGGGTGAAGGTGTATCCAGCTGACGAGTCCCAAATAGGACGGAGTGAGACGGCCCGTGATCTGACTCCAATTCAGATTGTATGAGTGTTTGCTATCGCCTATTCTCGTATATCATTGTCGACTTAGATCGCGTTATCCAATAACGGAATTAAATAAGTCGAATAACGAGAATTGACTTGACAATACATATATTTCGTACATGGAGCGAATGAAACAGAGCCAAGCAAAATGACGCACAGGGAGGATGGCTGGGAAGCCAACTCCATTTCAAGCTAGGCATTACTTAATATTTATAGGCAGACAAAATAAACGACAGACATGTGATAAGTCACGGGACATGAAATGTACACACATACGCTCATATGAAAACAGTCAGGGCTAATAAGCGAATAATTAACAAGGTCAAAATATGACTCAAATAAAATGAATTAAATAGGATGTCCACAAGTTAGAATAAGGTAGATGGGCTTGCCATAATAACCGACGCTACAGGAGCACGCGTCCTGTATTCCACTGGAAGCCACTATCCATCTTTTCTTTATATACATGAATTTAAAAAAAATTTATTCACAAGGAAATTACCATTCAATATGATAAGAAAATTTTTCTGGCGTCCACAATCAATTCATAGTCATTTAGATTCTAATCAACAATGATTAGATAGTTTGCTAATTACTATTGAGTTACAAAATTCAAATATCATATTTATTTGATTGAAGGTGTGGTATACTTTAAGAGTTACACACCTTTTATAGGTCTTGGGAATTGTCAAATAATCTGAATTAGAGTAGGCGGTTATACGTAGACTGTTTGCTACCAATTATTAAGGATAGTTGATAACTGGGAATTATTATTATTATTACTATTATTATTACTACTACTATTATTTTTACTATTATTATTATTATTATTATTATTATTATCATCATTACTATTACCATTATTATTACTATTATTATTATTATTACTACTACTACTATTATTATAATTACTGTTACTATTATTATTATTACTATTACTATTACTATTATTATTATTACTACTACTACTACTATTATTATTATTACTATTACTATTATTGTTATTATCATCATTACTATTACTATTATTATTATTATCATTACCATTACTATTATTATTACTATTACTACCATTATTACTATTACTATTATTATTACTACTACTACTACTACTATTATTATTATTATTATTATTATTATTATTATTATTATTATTATTATTATTATTATTATTATTATTATTATGAACATTTCACACTTTTTCCCATCAATTTTACCTTTTTGGGGACAGATTACATTGCCGGTAATCTTTAGTGATCTTTAAAATGACTTTCAGAAAATAAAGCTAATTTCTAGCCAATCAAAATACAGGTTATATAAATGAATATTTGATCATGTAAAAGCTTGAAAAACCATAAAGTTGGGATTAACATTTCAAGTTCAAGTTTGGGTTATGAGTTCTGTTTAAGTTTTAGGTGTTAGGTTTAGGTCTTGGTATAGTCATTGGAAATAGGATAGAAGGATGCATTTTAGCGGTGCAGATAAATAATTCATAATTAATGATCACTATTTCCATATTTGTTTATTTTAAGCATCTAAATTACTAAATATTAATAGATTTTGCTTAGTTCTTACATAGAACCATTTGTCACTACGCTTTGGATTTCGCAAAAAAATCGAGGAGTCGCTATCTTCCATGTAATCATTTCCTCAGCAAACTTTCACTGATATTTCGTTTGTTCACGTAACCATGAAACCGTATTCTACTCAGTTTACAGTAATTCATGGTTGCTTTTTTGGTGTCACCAGTGTCTTTTGTCATACGTAAGACTGAGCTTGTCCAAGAGAGTCCCTCGTGTCTTTTAGTAGCTTTGAAAGGCTTGCTTCTACGGAAAGTTAGTAGTTAATACTACTATTCACTGCAATCATTAAGTTCCTTTTTTGTAATTGAGTTAAATTTAAGTTTTTTGATGTCACATATTCAGGCAGGTAATAAACCAGATCATTGCGTTACGATTGATATAACAATTACATATTCTAACGATGTACGATATCACACAATTTAATCATAACTGTTCTGTGTGGACATTAACTGGTGTAGATTGATCTTTTGTCATCGAGAAAGCTTTTTACTCTCTCCACAAGAGTTTAAGATCTTGATACAGTTCTGTATATAGTTGCAAAATAAAAGAATTTTAGCGTTAAGCTGATGCGATAACCAACGACAGGAAGGCAAACGTTGTATATTAGTGAGTGTAAATGATCGGTCTATTGCGAGTTTTTTCTTCTCTTCGAGTTAAAAGATTCAGATTGTGTAAAATAAAACAAACCAAAATTTCTAGTACATCCCTAACAGGTTTAACCTGAGGTATTAGGTAACCTAATTCAGCGTCAAACGGGTGACTACTTGCATATATTTCTAAATCGTATACTTAATATTGCTCTTCATAACCTGTCATCCCAGTTGTAATGTTTTCGGCGTTTGATTTATTATATCACTGTCTGACTTAAGTTGGTTGACCATTGGAAATCATAAATTACTAGATATTTATTTCGTTCTAGTATGGAAGTAATTTCAGGATGTGATTCTCGGGGTTCCAGTTAGAAACCGTGATCAGCCTTATCGGGTGTAACAGAGGTACCCACCAAAGACATTAGAAAATAATTGCTGAATATTGAGAACCAATTGAAGCCAAATATCTCAACTCAGTAATCTAAAGTTTGAGTGCTCACTGTGAGACTTAGAGTTCGTTGGGATTATGAGTAGTTTCATCTTAGGATGAAAAAGCTGCTTAATTTATTTATTACCAAGTGTTATATTATGTTTTTTCTTTAAAAATCTTTTCCAGTTTATTGATGATAATATTAATACTACTACTAATACTACTGATAATATCAGTCATGACAATGATGAGTCCGAGGTAGACAACAGCAACAACAATAATAATAATAAACAATATTTGGATTTAGATAATGATACTTCACAACCATCATATTTTACTGAATTACAAACACCAAATATGATATGTTATTTAGATGAACCAATCAATTATTATTCATCAATAAATGATAACCCATTATTGATTGAAGAGAGCACAAATTGATTATTATTGATTATTAGTGATCATTTTATTTGTTTATTTATTTTTCTTAAAGAAAGCTATTGTGATACATAATCTTACTTTTTATTTATTTATATATTATATTGATATAGTTTTCTTTAATCTATTCATCATTATCACCGCTATCACCAATTACCCATTATCATTAATATATATATATATGAACTCATTATATTATGTATCTATGTATGTATGTGTGTATCATGACAATTATTTAGGCATGAATTTATTTTACAATCTAATTCATTTGTGCAATATAATGTGAAAGTACTATACAGATAAATATACTTGTCTTGTCTGTGTTTCAGTTGTTCTAAAGAGTAATGTTTTTATTTGAGATCATGGATTGATTGTTGTTAGACCATCATTGAAAACATGGAAGCACTGGATGGCCGTTTTGTCCTATCGTGAGATTCCTCAACAGTGCGCGTCTATGATCCCGCTCGCGGGATTCAAACCCAGACCCTTCAGTCTCGCGCGAAAGCTTCACTTTTTTATTATAAACGATACAAATATCATCAGTTTAAGGTGGATGTTTACACGTAGATTTGCATACTTTTAAATATTTTCAAAGAATTGGGTGTATAGATGTTTCTCTTGAATTCAATATATTAATAATCAATTGGATAATAAATTGGTAATCGAAAATACAGAAGTGATCACGTATATATGTTCGATGTTCCCTTCAAAATAGGGAGAAGGGGTGTGGTTTCGATCGTCGTTCATAACTTAATTTTTTGTTAGCATCAGGTTAGGCATTTGTTGAGCAGATTGGTGGACATGAGATACTCTAAAACAAAAAGTAAATAGATATAGTCTATATATATGTCTGGTTAGGATTATTTATAATGGACGTTACATCTACACAGATAAGTATCAGTGATCAATTGAAGGGATCCATCTTTGACTTTATGAACTTAAGAATAACAATTATATAGTATCAGCTTATCCTAGTTGTACTGTGCGTAAAGACAGTGGCACATGCGAACCACTTCAGGGTGTCACAATCCGTCTTTAGTATAATGAAAAGGAATTTATAAGATCAATAAATGAAGGAAGACAAAATAATAGTGTCAGTGATTGTAAGAAAAAAGTAAACATAAAAAAATTATTTCGGAAAATGACCCGTGAAATCAAGTTTATCAAAAGTCTGAAATCCAATACTGAAGTTCAAGATTTAGAAGTGAACTTAAAGTAATAATAAATAATAATAATACAGAAAATACATCTTCATATTCCTTTTTATTATAAGCTGTTATACGATTTACTATCATTGAGATATTCCCAATTTATTAGCTAAGGTTTCTCATACAACCACTTTTGGCTTGATCTTGTATAATTATTATTTTTCAGCTTATGATGTGATGCGATCTGATCTGCTTGTATATAAACTAAGTATAGCTGAAATGTACGATTCATATAATGGAGGCTGAGATTGTGTTCTGGATTTAAAGGGCAAAACTAGGTGAGAAGTCACTATTTTGTGGACCAATAAGGATTCAAAGTTGACTCAAGGCTACCAGTGCTAGTTGATGTGTCATTGATTTAGCACGGGAACAAGGTCATACAAGCCGGTATTGTGATAGACGGTTTTATCACGTAATAATTGTCAGGGGCAAAAGTCATAACATTATAACTTTGGTTATTTACGATATATGTGATTTTATCCTATTTAATATTTAAATTGACCGTCCAATCGTTTTATAAATGAGTACATTTTCGACTAGGGTTGTCGTTATTTGGGTTTAATAAATCTCCACATGTACTAGTCTTGGTGTTTTTATTTCACGTTGTGGGAACTGTAGTGGTTTCTCGTTTTTTCGAGTATAAGTGTTATGTGACGCGGATATAACAAGATGTTATACTGCTGACTATACATGAAGTGTTATGAGAGTAAGCTCTTTCTTTCAAACAACCAGCACTTAGGTCTCAGCGGACGGGGAGGTTAAAAATAACGCTTAACCTTATTTTATAGATTCTCGTCCCCAACATCATGGTCTCTAAAGTTCGGAATTTTACAAGAGAACTCTCAAAAGGTGACTGGTTTCAAGTAGTCTCTGCATCATACTTTCCCCGTCTCCAAGACCTACTAATTCAGCTTCAGGTACCTCAAGATGAATTATCCTTTCATAGTGTGGTCAACCTGGGAATGACAATCGCCCACACCCTCCTTACAGAACTCAATATCACCTTGTTCAAAAATATATCCCTTCTATCCCTACTCTCAACCCTTCCTCGATGATTGGCTCGTTGAATACACACCTTAATCAGATCTTCCCATTGATCATCATACTGGCTGGATCCATGTCACGGTTTCGGTCAGCTTAACGTTGTTAAGTCGAATTTATTTTGTTTTACATAAATTATCTTAATAACTAAAATTTTTAGGAATCATTTTGTGATTGTGTATACTGAACATATTCTTTGTCAGAGTGAAGTAACTAATTGTAACACCAATGAAGATAATAAACAAACGAAATGGAAGGATAATAGTAACTGTAAATGTAAAGTTATCAAAAATAGAAGAATGGGTATATTTCATGTAGACAAGCATTATATCCATATTTAATCGCAATACATTATGAAAATGCAATCCTGACGATTGTCTTATTCTACGGTACCGTCCAGTTATATGATACACTGCCTACAGTACACTTGATTCATCACACAGATAATAAAACTAAAACGAATAATGAAGGTTTAATTACAAAACTGAATTATAATCTACACATCTTACAGATGATTGTTCTTCTAGTCTAGGGATGGATATGTAAGCTGAAACCTTGAATAGATAATAGAGTGACTTCCTTCAATCATATGCCTAGTTTATATTCTTCGACCTCCAGACAGTATGTAAGTACAAGAACGTAATATGTTTGTACTCGCTCACCTTATTGTATAATCAAATGTAAATATAATAAATGTTTCATTTAGTACTACAGTAAGGAATATTAGTTTAACTTCTGCCTACTCAAGGAACTCATATATGTATATATCACCAGTGTTTTTGTCTGACATTCACCATCAACTGTAATAGTCTTTGACCATTTGTACACCAAATAATACACTTAATTCATGAATTCCAACGTATTTTTTTCTTGTAAGCAATGATGGATAGTGGCTAGAAGTGAGATCCGGGACGCGCGTTTCGTCCTATTTGGGACTCGTCAGCTCGATGTACCTGCATCCATCATTGCTTAAAAATAGTATGTGAATTAAGGTAATATCGAGGCATACACACAATATGCACATAAGTCAATAACAGACTGATCAATTGCAGTCTTAAATTTCAATAGGAAGATACAAGCCAAACAATACCTAGTGTATTTTCTTCTTGTTTCAAGAACGAAATCGAACTGTATGTATACATTGCAGAATTTCTTAATGAATCTTATGAAATTTAGCATCAAAGCAGGTTTTAAACGTTTTACAAAAGCGTATGGGTACATCATTATGGTATTGAAATATATCAATACTTAGTTAAAACCACCCTGAAATAGTAAACCTTAATTGTAAGGAATGTCATCTGTTTTTCTGTGTAGACGAGTCCTTGTGGTAAGGGAATATGAATAAAACTGTCGATTGTTGACTGATGTAAAACATTAAAAAAGCAGTCAAGCAAAGAAAAAATTGTGAATAATGATGAAATTGGTAATGTTCATGGTATTTCATTCGTAGTCCATGTATCTTTCAAAAACGTGTTTCGTTTTTTCTGATAACATGTGTGTTTGTGCACTTAATTACGAAAGTAGTTGATTATTGCACCAACTTATTGAATTATTCTTTGTTTTGCTTATTGAACCAACAAACTTCTCTAGGCCAATCACCCAGTGACTATGACGAAACGATCAATACCGTAATTCTTATTGGTTCATGAGATCCATCTAACCCAGTGTCCAATCAGAAAATGAAGTGAGAAATCAGTATCACTTTCTATTGTCCTAGTGTCATCCTGGTTTCGAAATTCATATGTTTATGCGCATTAATTATCAGAAAGTAATGGGCCATATATGAAGAACCATAGTTTATATACTTTAGTGGCCCATAGATCTGACTCCAATTAGATCGTACGAATGATTGTTATCGCCTATTCTCGTACATAATCGTCGACTTAATCGCGTTAGCCAACAACGGAATTAAATAAGTCGAATAACGAGGATTGATCTGTGCATACATATATTTTGTATATGAAGCGAACGAAACAGAGCAAAGCAAAATGACACACAGGGAAGGTGGCTGGGATGCCAACTCCATTTTAGTCAAGCGTTACTCAATATTTACAGTCAGACAAAATAAACCACAGACATGTGATGAGTCATGGGACATAAAGTGTACACACATATACGCTCATATAAAAACAATCAAGACTGACAAGCGAATAATGACTAGCACTACAATGCAATCAAGTTATATGTAATAGAGAACCGATTAAGAGGTGAATAACTAACTTCCGTAGTTTATGGTTCGGGATCTGACTCCGTTTGGATCGTACGATTGTTATTGAAATCTATATATCGCCTATCCTCGTATATAATCATAGACTTAAATTGCGTTAGTGAATAGTGGAATTATATAAGCCAAATACGATGATAGGTTTCGAATACATATATTTTGTACACTCATTGATCTAGACAGGTAATCAGAGGGACGAAGCGAACAGAAGAGAATGACGCGTCAGTGGAGAAGGCGCGTGAGCCAATTCCCTTTAGTCAAGCGCTAATCAATATTTATGGTCACACAAAAATAAACTACAGACATGTGATGAGTAGGATACGAAGTGTACTCATATACGCTCATATAAAAACAGACAAGATTGATAAGTGAATAATTAATGAGGTCAAAATATGATTCAAAAATGAATAGATCGGCCTGTCCAGAAGTTTTATGGGCTTAACATACAATCGACACTACAAGTTTGAAATCATGAACTGATCTTATCTAGATCGTCATTGGGAAATTGAGTGATCTAGCTAAGATCAACTGATGGTTTCAAATTATGAAAATTCCACAATCATTACAGATCCTTCTCTTCTAATAATATTGAATTGGCAATAATTTAGAAATAGTAAAGCGTATGACAATAACTACTTAGCCAAACAGATTTGTATAAGTAAGTAGTGATAAAAATACAAAAATTTAAGTATTTAATGATTTTTCAATAGAAGTGTGGGTACTAATTTCCTATTGAACAATCCCATAAATCTCACTTTACCCAATATTTGACCTAACATAACTGGGCATAAGATGAATGTTTTAATGTTCTAAGTCGGTTACATACATACACTTGTTAGGTAGAAAAACGTA